CCAATAGAATAATAATATATTAAGATTTAAAATATTGTCTAAAAATAAAGAAAATATAAATATATATAATATAATTAAAACTATATGAGCATGATAGAAATCCGTTTTTATTGGCTGTTGAATTTGATCATCAAATTGTACGTGATTGGTCAGTATATCGTAAATCTATATCAAATTCTTATTAGTAATATGACGACTCTTCTAAATGATTATGTAATGAAAAAATTTTTTTTAGTAGCATGTTCATCAGAACCTAACGATCCCTTTGAAACTTTCAGATCAAGTAGGATCAAGTGTTTAGAGGTAGGTAGCTTATACGCGAAGTGTAGCGAAAATATGTAAAGCTGTGTTGGTTGGTTTAACTTCTACAGCTTAACAGGTGAAAAGTTAGTAAAATGCAGTTTTTTAAATATTTATTTATTACCACTTATTTATATTTTCTAATGCATTTTGTAAACGAAATAAAACTGAATCACTTTCTTCTATCTCTTGAATTCCTTCAGATTTTTCCATACCTTCTTCTGTACCTTCTTCCGATTCTTCTGATTCTTCAATTCCATTCTCTTTGGTAAGTGTATTTCCTCCCTTTTCAAGTCTTTCTAAAAATGATTTAATATTCTTATTTATTCCCTTTTTGTAATACTGCTCACAATGTCGGCATTCATATTCCATTTGATTGTAGCAGTGCCAGTAGAAACCATGACCGCAAATTAATATGGTGCCATCATTATCGTCGTTCAATGCTTCATAACAATTGTCACAAAGCCATGGTAAGGGAGGAACTCCTGTGCTATAACCCGTTGGCAAGTGTGTGACGCCAACCTCTTCATTTAAAACTTTAAGCTTATGTTTTATGTTTTTTTTTTTTTTTTTCCTTGCTTTTTAATTATATCTTTCTTTTTTTCTTTTTTTTGCCCCTACCTGTTGTACTAGGAACTGTATCGAGATGCTGGAATACTTGACGAAAATAATCTATTAAGAACAATGATTTTTTGTTTGTCAAGTATTCTAAAGTAGGGGGCGTATATGGATACCTTTTTTTTGAATGAAATGCTTCTTTAAACGGTGTTGTTTGTTCATGTCTATTTTTTATTTTTTTTTTATTATTATTTTTATTTTTTTGTATTTTTATTTTTATTATTGTATTTGATTAATATTATTATTTTTTTTAAATAAAGTAATTTTATTTATTGCTTATCTAAAATACAAGCTTGTTTGATAACAGTTTCGATACTGTCACTTGATGATGTATTAGCCCGTATTTGACTGTGAAAGTTTTTAACAAAATAGTCATTGAAATTTACAAGAAACATTTTAATTGCCTCAAACATTGGATGATTTTTTTTCTTCCAATAAAAAATATCTGACAAGAACACAAGAGGGGCTTTATTATAATTTTTACGATTTTAGCGTAATGCAAAGGTCTATATATGAAAAACAGTTTCGACATACTCATCAAAGGAGCCTGAACAAAAAAGAATTGCATACACATCTAAGGTTGCTAGAACTATGTTATCAAGAAGATCGATTAACATCCTGTATTCTACGTCCTTGCATATAGATCCGAATTTTTCAAATATATATTTTTTTATTTTTAGCCATCCTTGGTAAGCAAGTTCAAGGAGAAGATTTATTCTCCACAGTTTTGGCTTTTTTGCAAGAACCTTTCGTTTGCCAAAAACTGCATGAAAGAGCTTCTTAAAAAAAGAATAATAAATTATCAAAACTTGCTCCCGACTATTCAATGAAACATGCAGCGGACCTAATATAGGTATAAAAGAATTAACAGCTGCTGATATATGCGGATTTGTATTTTGTTGCAGGTGAGTTATTGCTTTTCTTATGAAGAGTTGTTCAGGCCAGTCGGCAACGACTGGCATTACATAATTATTTTCGTGCCTAATATCTTTATTAATTAAAAAAATTCTTTCTAATGCATTTAAGTAATCTTCAAGTGAGCGAAGATTACTTTCATTGATTCTGACTAGCCTCACTTCTTCCATATTTCTTTCTTTTTCTTTTTCTCTTATAGCATCATCGTAACAGTGAATAGTTAGGAGCTCAATTTTATCAAAATTGATATTTATTTTTTGTGAAGTAGACCACTGACTCTTTCTTTGCGTATATGAAAGGTCAAAAATTCCACGATATTGTGTAATTAAATGAAGGCAAACCAAGGATGCGTCTATATTAACGGGATTATGAATTGAGATACCATTGTAGCTTATTGGTATTGGTGCACAGTTTGAAATTTTTTTGCTAACACATGTAGCAAAATGAACTGGAGCCGAAAGAACCACGTTATCAGAACGTCTTATACCATGTATGTTATGGTAATCATCAATATTATAGACAAAAAAACTATTATTCTAATAAAAAAAGTATTATTTTTATTCTTTAAATTTAGGAAATTTATACGAACAATGTTTGCACAGGACTTTGATATGAATATAATGCCGTAACTTGCTGTAATTATAATAAGTTACAGCAAAAATGCTGTAACTCATTATAATTATGACAAGTTACAGCACTACGCTCATATTTCTAGTTATTTTTACTTACTTTTTTAATAAAATAGTTTTGAATATTTTTTGGATGTTTACTTACTACCTTTTTTCTATAATTGTCAACGGTTTTATAGCAAACCGACATACCAGCTTTATACATTGTATCAATAGCATCGCATGATGCACCGGATGCTGCAAGATATAACCCGATCTCCAAAGGATAATTGTTTACGAGTCTATTGCGTATTGCCGCTATTGAATAACATATATTAACTATTTTTTTTTACCTTCTTTTTTATTATATGCAGACCATCTTTCTGGAGTAAATGCATCGTATAATTCATCAAAAAATCCTTTTAATAACGGCTCTGCATTCTCAAGCATTGTTTGAAAACGGTCTGGGTCTAATTCAAGCATTTGATCCTCTTTTTTTTGCTTGTTGTATAATATTTTGGTTATTAAAGCAATTTTATTACTGAATGATAATAGTTTTTTAATAACATTATCCTGTAGATTATTGATTGGCAATTTCTTTATATTATAATGATCAGGTTCAATAATCTCAAGATAATGAGAATAGCATAGTTGCTTTCCGATTTCTATGTAACTATATTGACTAAATGTGCCTTTTTCTTTTGCTTTTTTAAGTGCATAATCGGTGATTCCACAAAATTGCTTTGGATTTATTTGGCAATCCCGAACTGAACAAGGGTCAAGATTCTTTTTAGTCATTATATATAATTTGAATTTTAATTTTCAATTTAAAAAGCATGTCTTTAATTTATTAAAATATTTAAATTTATTACAGATTATTAACCTATTATACATATTTGTTATTCTAATTTACAAAATAATTTTCGCGTTATTCTGCATGTTAATAAAATAGCCCCTGAGATATTTTTGGATAAATTAGATACAAGGCATTGTCTTATTAGGAATTATGTAAAACATCAGCTTAATTAAAAACTTTATTTTGCATGTTATCTTGTGCAATTATGTATTTTGATATTTAATACATTATACTGTATCTAATAACTACAATCGGCTCTTTTTTAATAATATACACTTAGAGAAACATAGGAAAAAGTGCATTTATAAAGGTCATGTATGCATTTAAGTTAGAGTTTGAATGTGCATTAGAGGTTGTGCTCTCATAAAAGTGCACTTATAAAGGTTTTACTATATTTATTATGCAGTATATGTCTGCTCTTTTTATGCACGTGATATGAATTGGTTATTTTTATTGTATGTAAAATATCTCACGTTTGTGTAATATCTATACATAGATCACAAATACTTAACCAATTAAAACAAATTTCTATCATGTTAACTATACGTATCTGCCTTATATCAATAGGACAATAGTTTGAAGATATATAAAATTTAAAATATTGTCTAAAAATAAAGAAAATATAAATATATATAATATAATTATCGAATGAGAAAATATTTACAACCTTCGAAAAAAAACCCTGAATTAGCTAAAAGACAATTGAAAGAAATAAACATTGCAAATTAAAATTATATTTGCTGTTATCGTTACCCAAAAACATTTTCCAAAATAATTTACGTAGTTGCGCGACTAATCAATCTATTTGTTCTGAACACTAATAAATAATAACGTCAAAATCGGACGGTGCTGCGCCAAGGACTGTACGAATGTAGTTGAAAATTTTATAAAGATAATAGAAATATCTCAATTTCGGTTTATTAATAACTCGAAAAGTTCTCTTTTACTTATCATTAAAGCTCCTACAGTCTATTGAATAAAGTCCTGTAGCGAGTTCTTGTATGTTATTCTTATCATTCTTGTCTTGATGAATTTCACCCAAATCATACGCCTTGACTAGTGTTGCCTTCTCGCCTTCTTTTCGACTTGAGTTTTTTAGTCTTTTGTTACACAATGTCTTCTCCGTTTGACGTGTACGTATCAATTTGATTAGTCAGATAAATAATAAGGATTATTAATCATACATTTATTAATCTAGAAAGTTACTCATTGCTAACTCCGGAAATTTATAGTGGACCAAACATGATGGGAATGTAATTTTACATCTAATAAGAAATATTTCTTTCCCTGTATAATATTACCCTTAATGTTCTAATTCTATTACCACAGATTTTCACTGGCATGTAACACGCATAACCATAACTTAAAAATTTTCTATATAAAGGGCGAAGATGTTTTAATTTTCCAGCATCATCTCTGATACAACTCAATCAAAATGTCCGTTCTCCGTGAACTTGGTAAAACTGGCGTTAAAATTCCAGTAATTGGACTTGGATGTATGGTACGAATTAATGTCTCATCTTGATTATACATGTGTGAATAACTAAATAGATTAATTTCTTTTAATTAAGGGAATGAGTGAGTTTTACGGATCATCCGATGAAACAGAAAACTTAAAAGTATTAAATCGTGCGATTGATTTAGGATGCGTTTTTTGGGACACTGCAGTAAGTTTAATTTTTTAATCACGTTACCTAGATATCTACATTAAATAATTTTATTCTACGTGAAAATTGGTATAATGTAAAGTAAAATTTTTTAATGTATATGCTAGGTAATATAGCATAAACACGTGTCTATAAATTCATTTTCTTGTGAATAATCATAATCAAGGATATGTATGGTTGTGGAAACAACGAAATATTACTTTCAAAGATTCTTAAGGATCGACGTAATGAAGTTTTTCTTTGTACAAAATTTGGTAATGTTCGCGGAGAAAATGGAGAGTTCTTAGGTGTAAATGGGAAGCCAGAATATGTTCACGAAGCATGCGAAAAAAGCTTACAAAGATTAGGTGTTGATTGTATCGATCTTTATTATCAACATCGTGTCGACCCTACTGTGTAAATAGACGTTATATTAATACTATTAATTAATGAAATATTTACAATTATAACAATAATAATATTAACAACGATAATAATAATAATATTATTATTATTATTATTATTAATGATAAATAATGCACAGTCCAATCGAAGATACAGTTAAGGCTATGGCTGAACTTGTTGAAAAGGGTAAAGTTAAATATATTGGACTTTCCGAATGTTCAGCTAATACGCTTCGACGCGCTCATAAAGTTCACCCAATCGCTGCCGTTCAGGCACGTAATTTTACCAATTTAAGCTATATAGTAAAATATATGTTACCTTCTTTTTATATATTTATATTAAATACTATACATATATTTATATTCTATACAGATTGAATACAGTCCATGGACTCTTGATATTGAAACAAATGGGCTTAAAAAAGCTTGTGAAGAACTTGGCGTTACAATTGTCGCGTATAGTCCATTAGGACGTGGTATTTTATCGGTACGCTTTTATTTTATTTTATTTATTTTTATTTTTATTTTTTTACAGAAAGCATTAAATAAACAGACGTTGGCTGATTTTATTAATTTTGTTATTAATTACAAAAATACATAGGGAAGATATAAATCCATAGATGATTTTGAACCTAACGATTTTCGTAGACACAATCCTCGTTATATGGGTGATAACTTTGCTAAAAATTTAGAACTCGTAAAAGAAATTGAAAGAATTGCCGAAAAGAAAGGTGTTACTGCTAGTCAACTTAGTTTGGCATGGGTTTTGGCTCAGGTATGCATCTATATATACTGTTCATATAAATGTTAAATTATTTTATATCGTATAGTCGCGAAATAACGCTCTTGTGCGTTTTCGGAAATCGCCTCCTTTTAAACACCTATTTTAGTTCAAAATAATTATCATGCGCGTCTTAAAAAATATCGAGCACATGTACTAGTGGATTTGATATACCGTAAATTCTCGAAATAATGCCCGCTATTTTGAGAATTTACGGTATATATTTTCAAGTAAAATTTTTATCCTTTTATTTCGAAATAACGTGCTTATGGATGTCTCGAAATAATGCGCAAGGGCACGTTATTTCGCAACTATACAGTAATTAAAAGTATTCTTAGCATTCTGATTTATGTTAAATTAGGGTGAAAATATCGTTGCAATTCCCGGTACTAAAAAAGTAAAATATTTAGAGGAAAATGTTCATGCTGAAAATGTTAAGTTAACCGCTGAAGAATTAGCCGAAATTCGGAAAATTATTGATTCTATTGAGGTTGCCGGAACTCGGTATCATGAATCCGCATTAAAGGTAATATATATTATTTTGAAAAACATTCTTGGATCTTCCACTTTGCACAGTAGCCTGGAAATTTTAATTTCATAAAAATAACTCGTCTATCATGGCGATATTTATTGTCGTTATCAATTTCAAATTCAACCCTATCTGTGAAGTGAATATCCAAAAATTGCGATTTCCTATTCATTTTACTAATTTATTACGTAATCAACGTGTACATGCATATTTTTTATATTAGTATGTGGATATATAAATATATACGTATATATATCGGCCAATATATATTAGGAATATCTGTTAAGGTAATTTTGTCCTTAATTGTGAAATAAATTCATACGTATGTACGTACAGATTGGTTAATGTATAAAGGTTTAAATTAGTATTGCTAATCAAAATTATCTTAAGCATTGTATATCAAATATTTTAGCTTTCAACGATTATTAAATTGTTAAATTTGAATATATTTAAATAAAACGTATCATTATTAATTACAGCTAATACCTTCCAAATACTAGTAATACTGTAAATTATTTTTAAGCAGTTTTTGGTTTGTGTTTGAAGCATATTTGCTTTAATACTAAAGCAAAGTTTAGTATGCTTAATACAAACATGCTTAATGATAAACATGCGTATATATAACATAATTTTAAAAAAAGGTATTGCTCCCAATTTCAGAGTACATTATTCAAGATCTTCCCCAGTATCGCCACCAAAAAAGTACGGACACGTGATCGCGCCAAAAAATCTTTAAGTTCGTTTAA